ATGAATGGTCCAGGGCCAGTCCACATAGTGAATGGAGTCCTGTGCATCATAGGATTCTCCTAAGGCTGGATTCCACCACCTCCCTGCCCTCCACTCCAGGATTTGGCCCCAAGGGCTGGGCACTGTCACCCCTGCCGGCTGGGATTGGACTCTGGGAGCCTGGTATTGCACCCTTCAACTGGGATTGGGCCCCATGGGGCTGGTATTGCCCCCCATGTGCTGGGATCAGGCTCTGGGGCCCAGCACTGCCTGTGCCTGGCACTATGTGCTGGGATTGTGACTGATCCAGTGTACAGGGCTTGAGCTCCCCATGAGTCTGGAAATTTGGCAACAGGGGGATGGTGCCACTGCTTCCTGGCTGCCAAATGTCTAGACTCCTGGGGAGCCCAGTGGGCCAAATAACATGGTGCTGCAGGCCAAATCTGGCCTGCAGGGCAGAGATTTAGCACCCCAGACCTGTGCAGGTTTCTATAGAAACACAGGACACTAAGGGTAATTGAATAATTGAGTCCAGTCATTTGCTATTGCAAGGAAGCAAATTGCATATTATCTTTCATCAAACAATCAAGGTCTGACTTAAAAGTAGGTTTAAGTTTAAGTTTAAGTTTTTTTTTTTTATCCCCACTTCTCCCCCTACTGTTCTCTGATAATTAGCTAGAAACCCTTTTGTTTACCAGCCTGAATTTATTTGTGGCCAATTCAAACTGCTTGTTTTTGTTGCCACCGTTGTCCTACAATTTAAGCTCTTCTCCCTACCCGGTGTTTTATTCCTATTGTGTTTTATAAAGAAGCAGACATATTCTGTGAGGCTTCATTTTGCTAGTCTAAATGGGCAAAGCTCTCTTATCCTCCATTCCTCTGACCATCCTCAAAGCCATTCTTTGCACCTACTGCATTCTGAGTTCATCCTACTTGACCATGAGTGAGTGTAATGGTGCACAGCATTTCAGATGAGGTCTTGCTAGCACCTTGCAGAATGGACTAATACTTAGAAACATAGGGTTGGAAGGGGCCTCCTGGGCCATCAAGTCCAGTCTCCACATTTCCCAAGCCCTACTGAAAACCTCTTCTGATTTGCATCTTAGGGTCACATTTTGCTTCCCATCCCTATTCCCCCAAGGCTACAAAACACTGGTGGCATGTGTGATGGCATTTTGTGATAAGACATTTTTCCTCCACAGTCTTTTGCAGCTCTTGGTTTGTAGCTTAAGTTTCATGTGACCATTTGTACAGTAGAATTTCATTCCATTTACATTACTCTAGTCCTCAAATCCATTCTGTGCTTCAAACATACCATCCCCATCCTCTTCTGTAGTGATGGTGCCTCCCAAGTTTGTGTCACCAGGAAATTTCATGAAGCATGCTCTTGCTTTATGTGCCAAGATCAATGCTGTAATCAGAGGTTTTCGACTTTTTTAAGGAGTGTATCCCTTCTGGCTCCTTTCCAAGTACCCCTGGGAGTACGCATACCCCTGGTTGACAACCCCTGGTGTAAATGATTGGTTTCAAGACTGATTCTTGAGAAGCTCCACAGCTAATCTCCCCTGCAGCTCAATATTTCCCCCTTTACCACTACTTATGTTCCCTTCTCCTTTGTCAGTTCCTCACCCACCTCAGTTCTTGTCCTAATCTCCTTCTCTACCTTAGCTAACAATTTCCCATGAGCCACAGTAACATGAGACCCATGTGCATCATAGATGTGTATACACCCATGATTATATAGCATAGGGAGTGGCCTATATAGCATAAAAGGTGGAGGAAAAGCATACAAGCTTGTCAGCAAACAAGCAAGTCATATTTAAAACACGAAAGCTAAATGAGGCAGTGGCTTCTGAGTCAGCAGTGTTCTGCTAGAGATCTCTAGGGAATCCGTGACAAAACAGTAAGCTATCCATCATGAAAGTAATGCCCTCCCCAGAGCCATCAGTGACAGGAGTTTTCCCCAGCATGCTAAACATCACTGGTCTTGGCAGGGTAGATCAAGCCACACCTGAACCTGTTAATCTGGTTGGTTCCAAGAGTAAATTGAGAGCCCCCAGTCAGGCAGGCATTCAGTCAGCCAGGTGCTGATGTGGCAGTTTCTCAAGGATGCTTCAAAACAACACTTCACAAGATGAATATCTTGGACAGCCCTCTGCATGAACGTGGTGTCCAACAAACAGCTCATCACTTAATTGAAAGCTGCAATCTTTACAAATGCCCAGACTGGGTAGATGGAATCTGCACATTGAGCAATAATATCAGGCAGTGGCTCATAGAGCTGGAGGTTGATTTCTGACGCCATAGGAAAGAAGTTTCTCACTGCAGTAGAGACTTCCTCTTACTTGATCACAATGAGCTGCTGATGTTTTTAGCTGGCTGGAGAATGTCCAGTGCAATCCAGCTAGGACTTCTGCTAGACCAGTAGGTGTCAATCTTTTTTAATCCCAAACCCTTCCTGATTGCTACACTGATTCCCTTTCCCTGCCCAATCAGCTACTTCACTTTCTGCTCCCTGCCCTGTGCTTCTTGTCTGATCTGCTGCTTTGCTTTCTGCTTCCTACCTTTTCTGTCAGTATGCTGCCTGTTCCCTACCCAGTCTGCCTTATGCCATGCACAGAGGCTGCCCATGCCACAGGTTGGCCACCCTAAACAAACAGTAGTTGGACAGATCCGAGTGTCCTTGAACAGTGGCGAGTGTGGCATTTGCTCTGCTTTGGTGATCAGTTGGCTGACTGTATTCTGACATCAGATGCTAGGTGGAAAGATGTGGCATAGTACCAGTAATGACACAAGCATTGACTGCAGCATGTCCGTGGTGATTTGCATAGTGTGCCAGAGTTGTATATCTGCTAATCTGATGACAGCAAAGTTTAGCTAAATTTGAGCATGATGTTCTCCACTGAGGACCAGAGAGTAGGCCCCAACCTAATTAAAATTTCAGCTCCTTTGGAGTGTTAGGAAGGTGAGACAGCAGTATTTTGGAAGTTTTTAAGAGGAAGTTAAACAGACATTTGTCTAGGATGGTTTGATAGGGATGATCTTGCCAGGGGGTGGAGGGGGTGCGGGCACGAGGGCAATGACTAGAAGACATCCTAAGGTCCCTTCCAACCCTGCTTTTCTATGATTCTGTGCAGCATTTGTGTTGGGTTCCCCAGGTAGATCCTGTCTGTTCAGGAGACATTCTGCTGCTGATCTTCCAAGCTACTTTAGTGAGGAGATATTTGTATATCTATGTGCAGATAGATAAGACTTGCCACAGTTCCTTTCTTTAGAAAAATCCACTAACAAAGGAAAATGTCAAGCTAGTCTGGCATGACCCACCTTTGGTAAGCAGAACATATTTTATGCAACATTATTTCCTTCAAAATTTGGTCTAAAGCCTTGCCCACTGTTGATGTCATGCTAATGGACCTGTCCTTGCATGGGTCACTCTCCTACCCTCTCCCGCAATTATTAAATATAGCTATTGCACTTGCAATTTTCTAGTTGCATGGTACCACCAAACTAAAACTCCTTGCCAGTGGCTATGGAGTTTTATGGGACAGAATTATTTCCAAATACCAGGATCAAGATTACCTGGTCCTTCCTACTTAAAACCCATTAAACTATGCCTCCTTTAAAAAAAAGTTTAAAGGTGACAAAATAGTGCCAAAATAAGAAAAAACATTATTATTGGATTGCACTAAATGACACTTTAGGTTCTGCTAACAAAAAAACAAACAAAAAAGAAAGCAGTTCTGTTTATTTCTGTGTAAACTAGTATTTTTTCCCAAAAGTTCTTTTTGCTTGGCAAACCCTTTCCCCCTCTACTCCCCCCACAAATTTTAGTATTGTTCCTCCTCCTGAGGTCTGCTAAGATCCACATCTTGTATTCTTGCTCCTGGCTGATGGTATGACCTCTTATTCTTTGGATATACTCTACTGTCAGGTGTGTTGCTTCCTTAACAAAGAATTCCCTGTCCCTCAGGCCTATGTTGTCAGGCCCCAGCCTCAAACCTGGGGCTTCAGTGTGGTCAAACACTGCTGCTTTTCCTATCTTGCCACCCTATGGCGGGTTCCTTAGACTGATCCATGAGGACTCTGAAGTCTCCAGCAAGGCCTAACCCTCTGCCCACTCCCTGTCACCAAAGTGGCTGGCCAAGCTGAGCTGAATTCTGCTCTCTGTGTGTACCTTCCATTTACTCCACTGTGGCTTTATCCCAGGCCAGTCTTTAATCCTTGGATTACAAATGCATGAATTGGCCCAGGTTCTTACGTTGATTAAACTTTACCACTTCATACCTGGCAATCCTGACCACTGTGATTCATTTTGATGATAAATGATTCTCCAACTGCTATGTTTTGACAACAGGTGTGAGGTTATAGAACTGCAAGTAATGTAAGGAGGACATAGATGTCATGAGAAAATGGAAGGAGCTCCCATCTGAGGGCACACTTTTGTTTAAAATGTGTAAAGTTAAATGGGAAACTGTAAGTGCAGGGAAGATTTAGCTCTGATGTACAGTAGCAAGGGGGATTCTGATGAACCTATATAAGAGGGTAAGATTGGGTCATACATTGAGAAACTGAAGTATTAAAATGAGAACAGAATATAATGAGCAATGATATTATTGTGTCAGAACCTTTGTTCGCTATTCAGTCCTTATTGAACTTACATTGGCTTCAAGGAGTTGATTGCTCTATAAAATTATACCATATACTTAATGCCTACCTGGAGCATGAATCCCTAGGCTTGAGCACCTAAATTTTGGCTGTATGACTTGTCCCAGGTTAAAAATTAAGCTAAGAATGGAGCTAAATTAAAACTCAGAAGACCTGACTCCCACTCTCTTGCTGCAAGTGCTAAACCACATTCCCTTCTCCAAATTAATTAAACGGCAGTTTTTCTTCCTACTGAAGGTTTATTTACTGTAAAATTTGATCTGGAAAATATTGGTAATAAATGTTGTTTCTTTTAATGACTTATGATTGCTCTTAGCAAAGGATGTTTTAACATATGCACACTTTTGAAATTTTAGGCCAATTTCTGTTGAGGCAGATGGTCTCAAGGAATGAAGCTCCTGGGCCAGAAAATGAAAATGACTTTCCATCCAAGTGGGAGGAGAACTTTGCTGATGGGGGTGATGATGAAGACCACCAGTTCTCAAACCTAATGGCTCAACTCGGGGCTAGGAGGAACTTAGAAGAGTAAGTCTAGCCAGCAGTGTTATCAGATAATGTATGTTACATGATCTGGTGTTTAGCTCTCTGTGGATTAGGAAGTGCTGGACGGGTTTCTTTTGCTCCGATGTATCTTCATGGACATTGGTAAATGTACAAGTGGAAAATTAGAACTAGGAACTGCTCTGATGGAATGATCTTGTATTCATTTCCTTGACTGCTGCATGTGAGATCATAAAGGCTACAAATAGATTTGGCTACGTCGCCAAATGACGTAGACTGGCTGTGTCCCAGCACAGCTGATCCCTTTCATGGGGTGAAACATGTCACCTGTTGTCCCACAAAAATCAATGGGTGGGACAACAGGCAACGTGTTCCTCCTTCCAGAGATGTGCCTCAGAGATCCCAGGGACACAGCTGGGGAAGCGAGAAAAGCTGGGACACTTTGGTATGGTACCAGGGCTGGAACCACCAATCACCTGATTGGCGGTCTCAGCCCTGGGACTGCACTGGAGTGAGTTTGACACTCTGGGGCAGTCTCAGGGCTGGGGTCACTAATTAGCTGATTGGTGGCCTCATTCCTGGGACTGTACCAGAGCATCCAGGCTTTCCCCACTTCCAGCGATGTGCCCCAGAGATTAGTGGAGAAATGTCCCTGTAAGCAAAAAAGCTGGGCAGGTGCTTCCAGGAATTGAGGGGCCCAATCCTGTGCAGGAAATCCCACAGCATGCAGTACCAGGCCCCTCTAACCCCGGGAGTGCCTGCTTAAGGTAGTAGGAGTGTGTGCACAGGTATGGCTGCTCAGGCTCTTGCACCATAACAAAAATAGACATCTGCCAGAATAAAGCAGCACAGTTTATTGCTATCTTTTGTCATGGCCACATTGTGTTGTGATGCTGTCTTTGTGTCTCCTTAAACATTTTTAAGGCAGCACAGAGGTAATGAAGGGTGATGTCTTGTTTCTACCCAAAGACAGTTCATGCAAGCAAAACAGTTGAGCCCTGGGGGATAATGTGGTGAACGACACAAGCTCAGTGAAGAGCAACACACCTGAATCATTGGTGTGGTTTATCAAAAATAGGTCGTATCAATGTGCATTTGGCATATCAAAAATGTTATCCATTGCAAGTAAGGAGTCTTCAAAGAACACTGTCTGGGCAAGCAGTATGTTTATATTGTGATAGTTAACCAGGAAAACCTTTCCCCAGTTTCTTCTCTTGACAGTTGCCATTATTTGTATTGTGTCAGGATCTACCTTGCAACCATGGATCGGGGCCTCATTGTGTTGTGTAGTGTGTACACACTGAACAGAAAAATGGTCCCTGTCCCAAAGCACAGTTGTACTTTGTGTGATGTTGGATAGTCACACATAAAATGAATGCTTCAAAATGAGAAGCTTGTCCAGATGGTAAATGGATAAACTGTATGACTTTTCTACCCAGCATCCTTTTAATCCTAATCCTGCCAAACTGTTTTGAATCAACATGTTTGTTTTCGTCCACTAAATCTCAACCAGCATTATCCAGTAAGCCCTTTGTGCATAGTGCATGGTAAGGCTATTTTTTATATGTTCTGATTTGTTTAGAACATTAAGTTTGCATTACATATATCTCCCAGCCCTCCTGTGTTCTTTTGAAGGATATTTCAAATTCAAATCATAAGGATGCTGATAATGTGAAAACTCCCCTTTGCAGGAAAAAAAAATGACAGAAATTGTTGTGAGCACAAGAAAACTGACCTTAGATTGGACTTGTTTGTTCTCTGAAACAAAATCTTCTTTAGGGTCACTGGAGGATAAAGGTTGTGACAGTTGTGAAACAAATTCTTTCACGTTTAGCACTGCTCTTTTCTTATATAATTGATCAAGGATCCATCTACAAAATAAATTTTACGCAGGCAGAGAATTGACTAAAAATATCTGAGACACATGAAAATCTCTGTAGTTAGTTAAGATAAGTGAATAGAATAGAATGCGTCTCAAAGTCCACTGAGATAAGTGATGCTAGTCCTTCTATTGAGTTCATTGGTCTTTGACTGAGATTCTGATTTTAGGTATCCCAGGGACATCTGAGGTAAGTGGCAGTGGAGCTGAAAGGAGAAAGAGATTGGAGAATAAGATAGTTTGGTCCAAAGTTGCACAGCATGGGTGGGGAAGGTGGAGGGGAGGGGGCGGGAATGACACATTAATTTCACTTACTGCACACACCTTTTCCCCAAAATTAGAGATAAAAATTAGGGTTTGTGTCTTAAATTAGGAAAGTGATTTACAAATAGCTTTGTTAATAGTATTGTTTCAGCCTATTGATAGATGACCAGATGTCATTACTTCACATAGGCCTAACTTAATCTCCAGTTCCGTACCCACACTTTGTCATATCCCCACCTTTGCTGAGTCACTCTTGTAGCACATGTTAACATGTACGATCATGAGTGGAACAGAATAGTTTTGTGTATTTTATAATTTGTTATATTAAATTATTTATTTTCAAGAAAAAGCTTCTTTTTTTTTCATTCTGCCCTCCAAAACCTGGTGTGTGTCTTATTTGAAAGTGTGTACTATGCAAATAATATGGTAAAAACTTGCTGATGCCTCTTAGGGTCTATGCAGTTTTCAGGTGATCCAACTGTACCATTGAACATGCACTAAATCTGTCTTCAGCATAGACTAAGGCAAACAGTATTGGCTTAATAACATGCTGATTTTGGACTGGATAGTTCAGGGGGAAGTCTTCCACTCTGGCTCTTCAGACAGAATTGGTGAGATTGTGTGTATTCGTTTAGGGGTTCCATGTGCTCAAGATGAGCTGCAGGACTCTCAAAACCTGATCCTGACTACTGGTAAACACCTACATTGCAGACACTGCTGTGACTGCTGTGCTGACAGCTAGTCTTCTCACACTAAAAGGACACTATAACCTTTGCCCTATAATTTTAGAGGTTCATCTCCCACAATCCTGACTTGCAGAGAGCTGAAATGGAAATACATTTTTGTTTATTTGTGAAAGAAATCCTGCTTATTCTGAATCCATGCTTTAAGTGTGGCATTTGATTTATTTGATTGTAAAGGGAGATGATGAGAAGTCATGGAAGGGAAAAAGAGAAAGGGTGCAATGGCTGGATAGGAAACATGATTTTCTCCAGGGAGAATACACAAATGGAGAAAGCTCATTCCTGTGAGTACCTTAGGCATAGAATGCACAGTCTTTTGGTCCCTGCCTTTTCCTCCCCTTTAGGTTGAGGCATGCTCAAGGCTTTCATGGGAGTAGAAGTTCCCATGCTTCTACTTATTGTTGGAAGGGAATTGGAATGAGTTGTGCTGTAAAGAAAATGAGCTGAAACTCTTTTCATGCGTCTCTACCCACCGCATCCCTGTATATTCACAGAAGAGCTAGTCACAGTCAGAGTTTGTATAAATTGCCCTTGTAGATAATGTTTTGGCCAGTGTTTTTGCTGAAGTTTACACTGTGTGAACAGACTGCTGCAAACATTTATTGTAGTATGATAAATCCTGTCTCTGAACAGATCCCTTATTCTTTTTCCTTTTCTCTTTTTCCTTCAGCGAGAGTGATGTGAAGCAACTTTGGTTACAGCTCAGAAAAGAGGAGCCTCATTTACTTTCCAATTTTGAAGAGTTTCTGGCCAGAGTTTTCTCCCAGCTCCAAGAAGCTGATAATGAAAAGAATGAATTGGAATCTGCCCTGAAAAAGTTCGTATGTCTGTTGTGCCCTCTCTGTAGTGTTTTAGATGTGTTATGCAGCATTTTCAATTAAAATGCAACAAGGATTCTCTCAGTCAATGAGCTTGCTGGAGAATTGATGATTTACCTTGAAATATCTCATATGGGTAAAACTTAACTAGTCATAATTGCAGCTGTTAAATTTATTTGTAATGCAGAAGCAAGTGGTTGGATTTAGTTTAATATATTTCGTGTTCTCATTCTTTTGAAATTCTTATGCATATGTTTGTTTTATTTTTAATCTTAATCTTATACATATGCAATTAAGGGGAACGTTTACCTGTAATCAAAATAAAGACACATGATTACAGGAATTGATCAGATTCACATTGTACTCTCTCTGCTTTGCAGCAGTCCATGCAACATGACCATAAACCAGGTTAGATAGCTAGGGAAAGTGAATTTTCAGCTGCTTTGTAACGGTTTGATGCTCCACATACTGCTTTGAATGATCTGCCATGACAACATTTGATTGACAGAGTGCATGTATGGAAATCCAAATCAAAATTTCCATTGCTTGAGTTTTCTAGCTGTGTTTTTAGTGTAAGCTGAGTGAATAATAGTTATTTGTGTCATGGTGCATGAGTGTCACTATCTGTGAGCCTTGCCTCATATCCCAAGATCTCTAAAAGTGAGTATATGGAGACAGGCCACTGTGATACTGTCAAGTAAGTAGCTGCATATGCTAGAAGTTCTTTGTTTTTTGTTTATTTTCTCATAAAACACCTAGGAAACTCTAAACCGCCACTGCAGGCAAACTATATTAAACTTATTTAAGCAAAACTGAACTTGCAATATGAAGAACTCTCTCACCTTATGAAATGATCGAATAGCCTGTGCAGTATTAACTCTTCCCTTCTATACTCCATCCCCCAAGTGACTACACTGATATAGTTTTCTCTTTTATTACGAAGTCACGTGCTTTTTAATATAGAAACCCTACCCCATTCAGTGTTGATGTGGGAGAGTATGCAGCGGGTGAGCCCTTGGGCCACGCTCTGAACAGTAAAGATAAAGGTAACCATTGACTGATTAGCTTTGCTTAATAGTTGCCTATTCATGTGTGGATCTAGGATTTTAAAAAGCAGGATGTAGATAATGTGGTGCATCATCAGATTAGCTGTTTTGAGCATCTTGACAGTGCATCCATTCTTGAGTTAATGTTCACCTGAGTCACAGTTCTAGCTAGAGTTAAACAGTCTGCAGGGCTATGAAATAGGAGCTCCATTACCAGGAGAATGGCAGAAGAAAAGCCAGATTGATTAATGGAACATAAAGACCATTAAAAAGGAGAAAGGGTCCTTTACATTTGTGGTATGAAGAATATAGGAGGAGTCAGGGAGATTCAGCCATGGAGTCAATTAACTCCCTCAGTGCTGCCTGAATAGAAATGCAGCTGCCACCACCAGGCAGTTGTTTTTTAAGTTTTGGGTGCACCAGGAATGAAAGGGAAGTGCAAACTACTACTTCATTCCCCATGGATCCATCCCTTTGCTTATCCACATGCTGAATTAAGTAGGGTTCCTGAAGCAAAAATATGATATAGTTATGTGAATTAATGAATGTATCCTAATGCATGTGCAGCAAGGAGTGGATGTAAGGATCGATGACCAACATTGATGCTGACATTTCCTACACTACCCTTCTAATGTGTTTTATGTGTACAAACTTTTATCTTCTTGTCATATAGTGAGTCTGTGCGGCCCCACCAATTTCTCCGAGAACAGATTTCAGCCTAATGGCTTTTGTTGAGGTTCGTGTTTTAGCCTGGAAAAGATAAGAAAATTTGCGTTGTCAGAAGTTACACAAGGTGCTGAAATGCCTTCCAGTAGAAGTAGTGGGCTTGAGCAACTTAACACAATTTAAGGTGGAGCTTTATCAGTTTATAACCCAGATTTGTTGGAGGTGGAGGGGAGAAGCAAACCTGAAGACCCAGGAAGCCATTGCGTCCTATGTTTTTTGTTCCTCTGTTAATGTTTACTGGCATAAGAGGTAGATTTGGCTGAAGTGTGAATTTCTTATACGTAACAATTTTAAGCAAATCTAATCTTCTAAAGAATGAATGAAGCATGTGGTCCTTCCCAGGAAAAATATTGCTACCATTCTGAGAGCAAATTAAGAAGCAGAGATTTTCAGAGGTTATCTAACACTAATATCTACTTTGTTCCAGATCTTAAAATTGTTGTCCTCTGAAGAAATAAACCATAGATATATGCAGAGTATCTTTAATGAGTGCTTTCAACCACTTATGAAACAGTTTTCTTCCAGTATATTAAATAAGCCAGAGTATCACCAGGATGTCTATTTTTGTTGCATTGTAGTTTTAACTAACTTGAACCCCTCTATTTGCTGGCTGCTTGCTTTAAATAAATTACAGGGCTTTACCTCAATATTTTTCTTTCACCAGCTTTTAATTATTACTGGAGAAGAAACCTACATTCTCTAAGTGCTGTTGGTTAATTAGATTGTATCTTTAAAGGTTTCTGAACAGAAAACAAATACTTTGATAGAATTTTCAGATAAGTGCACACAAAGGAAGTCTTATTAATCTTTCCAAACTGAATACCATCCAGCGCAAACGTAGATGTCTTGATTCTCTTAGCTGATCCATATTTTTAATTCAGTGGCTAAAATAAAACAAACAAGCAAATGTAAGGAAAACAAATTGCACGGTAGTATTTTTAGCTTGGAATATTTTGTTCTTTAGAGCTTGTCACCAATGAATGAGTGGTGTACTTTTGTACATAGATTTTTGAGGTCAAAAGAGACCATTATGATCATGTAGCCTGCCCTTCTATTTATGTTGTTTGGATTTATAAAGAAAAAGAAACAAGAAAGATTTGCATCACAGGCTGATATTTGATGTACCGTGTTACAGAGTTCTATTCCTGGTAATGGCAATAGCTAGGCTGGTAGCCGCACGCTTATAATATCTGAAGATGCGTGGTAAGGAATCCATTAACTCAAATCCATGTTTTCTGGCACTTATAAACACACAATATGTTTTAATGCGTTTACTTTCCAGTTTTTTCTTATAAAGTCTATATTAGTTTAACTTGTCCCAGGTTCCATGGTGGTGGTGATGGACAATTCTTTAAATAACACAGTGATATTTTGAGGGCTTTTTTTTTTTTTTTTTGGATCTTGCCATGTATTTGTGCATCATTGGTTTGAAAAAGAGACCAAATGTGTTTGTCTTGCATCTGTGGAGTATGTGTGTGATGGTAAATAGCATCTGGATTTTCAAGGGCTATATAAGCTTTGTGGACAGTCTGGTATAGCCTTTTCCACAGTTCCATTTGGGTTCATAAACTTGACTGGAATCCCTGTGTTCACAGCCTCCATGAGTATGAGCACAAACTGTTTCCATGCTGTAAAGCAATGGTGACCAACCCTTTTGGCCCATGGGCTGGATGAACAGGACCAGGTTTGTCTGCAGGTCAGATTCCATCCTGATGACCAGGCACAGTGCTGGCCCAAGTAGGCCTGGTCCAGCTGTAAAGGCTGGCGTCCGAGGCACCTGCATGGCTACATCGGGCACCTGGGTGGGCTGGCCCCATATGGCTGCATCAGGTGCTGGCTCAATCCTCCCATGTGGGAATTGAGCCTGATTCAGCCATGTGGGGCTTGACAATTTAATGATGGGGGAGCGGTGCTAGTGTTAATTGTTACTGCTCCCCCCCCCC